GATTCGACAAAAAACTGAAGAGATTTTTAGCTGATATTTTAAACTCGACAAAAAACTGAAAAGGATTTTTTATTTTTGATAAAAAAACCGCCCGTTTTTTATTTTGCATCTGTTACGAACGCTTTTTAGTTTTTTGGATATAAAAAACGGAAAAGCGTTTTTTAAAAGGTTTATTGGTCTCAATAAACCCTTTTTGATAGTTTATTAATCTACGACTTTTTTTTACAGTGCAGATAGTGAATTTAATTTTTTCCTTTTCTTTCTGTACAGATATATTGTGTTACCGCGTGAATTCCAGTATCATTACCATGGTCACGGTAATGGAAAAAAATTTACATTGATGGTAATTGTATGGTAAATGATAACGAAAAACTAATGGTAACAGGACTCTCCTGCAGACATTATGATAAAATTATTGAACATTATTTCTTTCCTTATAGTCTGTACATAACTGAGAGAAACCTTCTTCTAATAAAGCTCAATGTTTCAAATACAACTATAACATTGAAAACTTTATTTCCAAACGATTCATGTACTGCTATTGACTCAGTACACTTTATACTTGATGCTGTGTGCCGCCACTTTATCGTGAGTACTAGCAGATTTTGAATCAGTTTGCAGATTATATTAAATATGACCTGCCCGCGCGATGGACCTAGTGCATGACCTAATTCCCACTATACCTTTTCTCCTGTTTCTCCACTATGTTTCTCACTACTTTTTGTTCTTACTTGCTTCCATTTGTGTTCGTTATCTATTATTATTAGTTCATGCTATTTTTTCTTTTCCTTTTCTCTTTCCGTTTTTTCTTTTCTTTTTCAAATCACTGACTGAGAGTATGGAAAATGCTTATAATGTGTACTCTGGTACGCGCTGGTGTTTTCTTTCTTTGAGTAAATAAAGTTTTAAAAATCAACTTTTGCCAAAAAAGGATTCGAGTCCACAGTGTTGGGAACGAATATTTAGTTTAATAATTGAATGACTTCTCATACAAGTTCGAGGTGGCAGAAAATCATTGCATCCCTGCTTGCTTTCGTCAGAACAGAAAAACACAGAGTATCTGACGGACAAAATACGTTAAGCTGCGCGGAATTAGCACCTTTCAAAAAGCGAATGCGAATAGAATAATCCTGCTTTATTACCTTCATTTTCATCACTGCTAGGTGAGCTTGTGGTGTCTGCCGATACTGTTGTCGTCGAAGCTGTATCGTGCGGTGGATGATAGAAAGATAGTCCGATGGAAACAACGGCACAAACGAGTAGAATAATTAACATCATGTCGTGCAACGCTTCCCAACACAGATAAAGAAAGCTTTTCATCGGTTTCGGCGGTATCTCGTTTTTTCCGAATACTTTTTGACGATTCTCGAGATCTTGTTTATTATCTGACTCCAAGCCTTTTTGACCGTCGACTTTGATTTTTTCGAGAAGTCCTTTTATGCCGCCGTAGTCAGCATTCAATTTCTCGGTCAAGTCCTTGCCGCGTAGTTCCATCAGCTGTTTTAATTGTTCATTGGTGATCTGATATTCACTGGCATTCCCGGCACCTTCACCCGCGACCTCGCCCCCACCTTTCTTGGAGGCGTCTTTTTTCTTAGAGCGGGCCATCTAAAATTGAAACAAATTGTCAAACTCGCTTCTAGAGGTGGCACAGTTCCAGTTCCCAAAGTTCCTGAGAACTGATGAAAACAACTGGTCACTAGTCTCAACTTAATTTTGATTTTCTCTTAAAAAAAAACATTAACGAGGAACACTATTCTACTGTAAGACTCCTTTTTCAATCGATAGAGGATATCGCGATAGTAAAAAGCCTAGAAGGATTCGTGTCAATGACTCTTGAAGACCCGGTTTTTTGGAAAACCGGGTCTTCAAGAGTCATTGGCAAGCGACGTATGAACGATTGAAAAAGGAGTGTTACAGTAGAACAGTGTTCCTCGTAAGTTGAGATTATAATGACCTTACTTACAAGATATGAACTTGTCACTAGTTTAGTTCTTGTTGAACGGAAACTGCTACTAATTCTTTTCAAGAACTTAAAATCGAATAAAACCAGCGATACTAGTTACATTGACTTTGTTTAGTCCACTAAACGCACCATTTATCTTTAGCCTACTAAACAAAGTCAATGTAACTGGTTTCGCTGGTTTTATTTGATTTTAAGTTCTTGAAAACAACTGGTAGCAGTTTACGTTCAAAAGAACTGAACTGGCACTGTCCCACGCCTACTCGCTTTTTACTGAAACAAGAAAATCCTTCGCTTTTCGAGATGTTCGATTTACGTCTGCTAGAAAATTATTTTTCCATGACAATAATTAATTTTTCATCAAGCAATCGATTGTTACGTGGTGTAAACTCCCTCGGAAAACCGCAGTTTTCGCCCATAAGAAGTTTTGCTCTTCTTATTGACACACTTGTTTTCCCTGTGAGTAGTTTTCATTGTGGTAGTACAGTTTACAACAGTACTACCACAATGAAAACTCAAGTCGAAACTCAGTCAAAACGAGCTTACTACTGCCATCTACTCATGACTTACGTTAGTACAAATGATAATGATAAGCCTTTGTGTCCTGAAATGTCACCAGAGGTCGTTCATAAAAAATAAAACAGGCAGCTGTTTTGCTTAGACTTGGAACTGACTGACTGCAACGTAAGTTGGTGATTGAGACAACAAACGCTGCTGTTGGCAATTAACAAAAAATAGTAAGCCGTTTCATAAAGACGCACGGACAGAACGAAAAAGTTCTTGGAAAAGTGACACGTTTAATGCTACAAAGATTCTTTCGCGTTCGTTTCTATCGTCCTTTGAGCTTACATTCCTATGATTCTTTTGTCGAAAAATACTGGTTCTGATATAAGCTGCCACATTTCAGAGTAGCTCAAAGAACGACTCTCTTTTTTTCAGTTACAAAGTCTTATGCCTCAAATGTGATGACTATATGAAACAGAGAGAACACAGGAATTTGTTTCATACAGAGACGTCAGTATATCTACATGTACATTACCCGTTTTCACGTTTGGGTTAATAGAAACTGATCGTAGTGTCTTTTTATTAATACTACTACCAGCAAGAACATGCACACACACAAAGCATAAGAAGAAACGATGTTATCAGGGGAAATCTTTGAGAGACTAATTTTTGTACTAATTCTTTTTTTGGAACCACAAAACGCCATACATCTATTTTTCTCATCCCTCTCACTTTTTTGCTTCTGTCTATATCAGATGAGATGACAAGTAGGCAATTTAGTTTGATTAGATACATGAGGAAAAAAACAACATTTACAGATGAATAGCTGAATAGATAAATAAAGTCAAGGATAAATATGGCATCGTTTATTCTTATTTTTGTTAGTGGAGTATTCGGTGTTTGATCTACCCGAAAACACAAATTATAAAAACAGAAATCCATTTTTATGATCTCTGGAAAACGTTTTTTCTCGCTGAAACTATCGTCTAATAATGATGAGAAACAACTCTATTTGCACTTACTGTTTGTATTTTATATATATGGGAAAGTGATGTCTATTTGTCAAACGTAAAGATAATTATTTATTACGGATGTTTGGCTCGTGATGGTGTTGAAAAATACTGTATATCCACTACTTCAACACTAAATAGTCGATTATATGCATAAAAGTTATTTCTATCTAGCTACAATTTTCCTTCCATTCTTTCGTTTTTTTTGCTTTGGATATTTTGTTGGCAATAATTCTTTTCTAAACATAGTTTCCTGATTCTTGACTTTCAGCATTTCTCTTGCTAAATTTAAAATATTGGACTCTATCGTCTCCTGCGGGCGTGGCGAGATATTCATATTCACATCAAAGTCGATCTTATATGCATCGGCTTGTTAGATAATATCAATGATGTATCACGTGATTAGCCTAAAGCATGCGAGTATCTGTTCTTCAATAAGAAAACGGTGAAACATTCGGAGAGAGAACAGTATACTAGTGATACAAAATGGATTATCTATTTAAAAATATAAACTTTAAGTCAATGGTCTCCTGTAATGATTTCGCGTACCAAACATTATTTTCCGAAATTTTCACTCCAAATTGACCTTACATTCCGGGTGGGAGATTATAAGTGTTTATTTATTAGGTGCTATTCATTTTTTTAGTTAATTGTGGAAATACATGTGGAAGTATTTTCTGAAGATTAAACGGATCGTACAGTACATTTATATAATTAATTCATCATGTTCACAATTTAGCGATGCATCTAATCGTTTCGTTTATATTAGGAATGGTCATATTTTTCGTATCTAACAAGTTTAAATGAATACCGACACTAATATTTGAAAGAACAAGATATTAATCTTATTATTCAAACATTTTCATCTCAGCAAACATAATAATAATCAGCTGATTGAGTTTAAAAGGTCACTACATGCTTGCAGTCTGGATTATGCCAAAAACGATTATCTTTACATTTTTTTGTTCGTTTTCTTACTTCTCTTCTTTCAGTCTAATCCGCTTTTTATTCTTTCTGTTACCATTTTTTGCTTTATATGTAGCAGTATCTATAGTCGAGATTAGTATTGTTATAGTATACATTCCACATGATAAGAATATATCATTTTACTATTTATTTTTCTTTCTTTTCTGTCGTCCTTCTGTTACCATGTGTAAATAGGGAACATCATTCTTCTATACATATATAACCACCATTAGATCGTTACAGGCGATGATAAAAATTCATCCTTTTCCCTCTCTATTCTTTTGTATCTATTCTAATCAACAAGATATATATCCTTCTTATCAGATTATTTTGACCGTTGGGAACGGAGCTATTCTTCTATTTGCCATTCAGTAATATTTTATTTTTTTATTATTTCCAAAATGTTTAACACAAATAATAGTGCACGGGTCAATGACAATAATAGATGTGGTTTTTTACTTAACATACGTAGTCTATGCGTTCTTGCAGAAAAAAAAAGGCTCAATAACATAATTAGATCTAATTCAATTAATAACAAACGATGAAAATCCTCTTCTCATTGCTATAATTGAATCGAGGTTAAATGACAAAATCTTAATAACCGATATCCAGATAAATAACTACAGATCTTTTAGACGATATCAAATAGACTGTACTAATAGATGTTGCCTTTTACATGTTAGAAACGATATTTCTATCAAGCGCGTAGATAACTTTGTCGACATAAAGGTGATGCTTTTCTCATTACTTATTCAAAAAATTAAGCAAATTTTTATGAACATTTTCTCCAGAAGAGATTGAAATATGGAAATCTATAAAAGCTTCTTGAATTATTTCCAAGATATCATTATCAGAATAACTTTTGCAAAAATTCAATAGTATCTTAATTTTTAGAGATTTTAGTGCGCATAATAAGTAGTGGATAGCAAATTCAACTTAAAATACACCAAATTGTACTGTTGAGGCGGTCCAATTGTCAGAAGTGCTTGATGCGTTGAATTTAAGTGAGTGAGCTGACCAGGCCATTATCTAAAGCTTGCCTAGACTTACGGGGGAACCTCCCGAGGTTACAAATCATTTTCGGGCTAAAAACTAGTGAGTCAGAGGTAATCAAGGGTGCTGATTCCGAATATAACAATCACTTTAGGTCTTTAGAGACCGGATTTCTGGAAAGCCAGTTTTTCGAAACGCCTAAAAAATAACCAAAACCTTTGTTAAAGCGACAGGATTGTAGCCTGCAGATTTCTGATTGAAATGAGACCTCCCTGAGCTCTACATGACCTTTCTTTGCAAAGTTATAGAGTTTGCAAGAAAAGCCCTAAATGTTCATTGTCAGCTCAAAGCTGTAGACATAAGACGAAATTTATTTAGGACTTTTCTTGTAAATTCTACGACTTTGCAAAGAAAGATTGTGTAGAGCTCGGAGAGGTCTCATTTCAATCAGAAATCTGCGGGCTACAATCCTGCCTCATTAACAAAAGTTAAGTTATTTTTTAGGAGCTTTGAAAAACTGGCTTTCCAGAAATCCGGTCTGTAAAGACCTATCGGCCAAAATGATTGTTATATTCGGAATCAGCATCCTTGATTACCTCTGACCCACAAGGTTTGAGCCCGAAAACAATTTGCAACCTGGGAGATTCCGTCGTTGTTACAATTAACAATTAGATATCATACACACAGGTGAAGTACTAGATCAGCTATATGATAATTGTGATCGTACTACTGTTAAGTTTTCCTTTAAGGGTCCCCCCTCAGAAATTGCTGTCAAAAAATCGGTTTTGAGATAAGCATATGAAGGTAGCTTGAAGTATCGTTTTTCAGAATCCGATCAAAATAAGACTTTGTACAACTCTGTATGATCTTGCATCTAAAAGTTACAGGCATTTTCCTAAAAGTTCTGAAATTGAGCATTTCATACAGCATTGAATACAGCGTTTTCTCTATATAAGAGTTACACCTGAAGTGTGTCCCAAGATTTTTAATAGCAGTTTGTCGTAGAAAGTTTGTGCTTTTTTTAGTTTAAAAGAGGAGCACAAACTACATGGACTGACCGGCGCCGAATTAGGTCAATTTTTTGTCAAATTGGGGATTTTTAGAAAACTCGGAATAATTTTTCGAGTTTTGGAGGTTGTTGGTTGCCTGGAAAACCAACAAAGGCTTAATTG